ACAAACCCAAGGGTAAAAGTGATAAACCTGCTGACCGTGAGGCCTTTTTGATCACCGAGAAATTCTTGACTGATGCATTAGGGGTATGATAATCAGTAAATATGTCACTCCTGTCACACAGGGAAATTGTAAATTTCTAAACAGGAGATTTATTCCTAGTCCTTTTGGATGTTTTAATTTTTTTCACACTGAAATTCGTACGTTGCCTTTTATTTTTTAGCCTCCTGTATTTGAATCCGAAGTGGCTCAACGACTGTCAACTCCAGGCGTGGCAGTAGGTAAGTCGAAATTAAGACAAGATCAAGCAAAGAGACTGAATCCTCTCATGTTTACTTTAGATTAAAGGTGTCTGGACTCCATGGAAGTGAGTGTCGAAAATAATCCGGGATTGCATTGGCTTTGCTTTTTGATTGGTCCAGAAAACTCGCGCCTTCCACTCTTCCAATCAAAAGCAGAAGTCAAACCAATCGCGACTTCGTCACCCGAGTTTTCCGCGCTTCAAACAGCTCGCCTGTTTATCGGCTAAGGATGATGCTAACCTTTGTCCTGATTGGCTGTTTTGATAATTAAATATATTATTATGTCGCGTCTACTTTTCGTGCTTCTCGAGTGTTTCGTTGAGAACATAGTTGACCTGAAATTCGCGATCCTCATGTCTTCAGTTAGATACAAATCCTTAGTCGTCTGAATGCGCACGGTTCTCTGGAGTGGCCTCTACCCCCACCCCTCCCCTGCGGATAACTTCTCCATGTCAGGCTTGCCAAACTTTTAGTTCCGGTGTGCGGATAATTCTGGAGACCGAATTAACCATCGTAATACCATTGAAACAGATGATTATTTGTATCGCTAGGTTTGGCTTGGACAGCAATGGGTGGAGAGATCATGTTTGTGGAGGCGACACGCATGGGAGGAGAGGGAAAAATTACTTTGACTGGACAGTTGGGTAGGTTCAGTGATATATACTTAGTATATTGTTTCATGGTCAAACAATGGTCGGTGTGAAACAACCTTGAGTCTCGTCGCTTTCTGATCGACAGGACTGGTCAGTCATTTCTGAGTCCTGAAATAACTGACTGGGAACGAGCTTTCATCTGGAATTGTTTTTAGCATTGACCCAAACGTTTTCTTTTCCAACTTCAGGGGATGTCATGAAAGAATCCGCCCAGTTGGCGTTGAGCTGGCTTCGAAGTCGCTCAACTGAGGTAAGTTTTATTCCTTTTACACCATGTGGTTTGATTGTTCGAGCAAGTGACGTTTTATTGCAGTCTTAATGGTGATAAATGATGATGGCTGTATAATGTATTAAATTAGCGCATGTTTAATACAGGAAAGTAACGTGCAACTGTTAGTGTGAACCAAATGGTGGTCTCCGAGATTTTATCAAACGTTTTGTTCGCAATATGACCTCATCCTTCATCCTCTGGAGTATTTTCAAGGGTTTTTATGGGGAAGTACCAAATATAACCCCGTTCTCACAACGCTGCAGTTTCAAGTTGGTGGCGATTCAGTTTCCGGGATTTGGAAGAATTTGCTCCCTTGCTTGTTAAGTCATAACTCTGTACGCCTTTTAGAAAGTCTCGAGGAATTGGGGTTAATTACGTTCCAACTTTACATGGATATTGTATTTGTCCGATAATAACTAAGTGTTGTATCCTTTTCTCCCAACCACTGCAGTACTGTCTGACATCGGAGGACGGCGTGGATCTACTTGAGCGCACAGATGTACACATTCATTTCCCAGCAGGCGCTGTTGGCAAAGACGGTCCATCTGCTGGTGTTACTATTGTTACTGTTCTTGTCTCGCTTTTCAGGTAGAGAGGACAATATTCCACTAAGTGTCCAATTTACCCGGGACTGTGTTACTTCTAAGGTTTTACCCGGCCTTCGTCATTAGGCCTTTAAACTCGTACTACACTTTCAACGAAACAGTGGCTCGACTAAAACAAATCGCAACTTGTTCACTCACACTTTCCTTTTCATTTGTTCACTTTGAGCTCTCACTGCTCCTGATTAAATTAGCCTGTGTTCTTTCTGATCATTATGAGAACCTTTGTTTCGTTTCACGACAATGAATCGAAAAGCAGGACCGAAGGTACTGGGTCGACAAAAAAAAAAAAAAAACCCTGAGTCCCCACGAGGATGCGAACCCCGGCTCTTTGGATTTCATGATCTGTTAGTCTACCAATGAGCTACAGGGAGTGTTTAGGAATTCGAAGATCGCGATAAAAAATCATCATCCTTCTCTTTCACTTTACACAATTTCCCCACATGTTAAAGAAAGAGATGGAAAAGTTTGTGAGAGAGCGAAGAGGAGGAAAGAGTTGAGTTGATTTTCTAAAACTTTTCTCCAGTGAAAACTCTTTGTGGGCTCCTCCCATCCTAGTATTAGAAATCCTCTAACACAATACAATCATGCTCTGGTACGATAGTAACATTGGTAAACGTATCTTACTTTATATGGCATCACTTTCTTTTATTTTGTAGGTAAATTTGTTGTACATTTGCTAATATCTCGCGTTCTACTCTTCCTTTATCAGCGGCCGATGTACCCGCTCAGACACAGCCATGACCGGTGAAATAACCTTGAGGGGGCTTGTTCTACCGGTAAGGATTGTTCTGTTATGCTCCTTGCAGCGATTGTATTATTAAACAATTATTCGCCGAAGGCAAGGTGAATATCGTCGAATAATCCCCGAGACGAAGTCGAGGGGATTATTCGACAATATTCACCGAACCTGAGGCGAATAATTGTTTTAGTATAATTTCAGAGCAGAGCAACAGAGAAATTTCTAAAATCATAACATTTTAGTAACATTTATTAACATTTTATTTTAACATTTTATATAAACCGCGTGGAGCGGTTTATATAACGTCATATAAAGAACCGCTCGACCAATCAGATTGCTGGAAACTCTTTGCTCAGCTCTGAAATTATACTAATTTTACATAGGCATTGATACTTTATTAGCGAAGAAGAAAAAAACTTATTGGATCTTTTTTTTCTTGTAGGTCGGTGGAATCAAGGAAAAAGTATTAGCGGCACACAGGGCTGGACTAAGAAGGGTGATACTACCGCGAAGAAACGAAAAGGTTAGTAAAAATTGGACAAAGCTAATTAACGATGAATGGACGAGCTTGGACTTAACTAGGAGGACTTGGTAGAGAGGAGGTGGCGGGGCTTTGCAGAGAAAGGGGAAGCTCTTATCAGAGACGGGGAGGAAGCAAATTAGAGAGATGGTAGAGGGGTGTATTAGTGGGGGATAGGGAGCTTATCAAAGAGGGATAGGGGCTTGTTAGAGTGGAGGGTAGGGGGCATATTAGGGAGGGAGTGGGTGGCTTTATCAAAGAGGGGTTAGAGGACTCATCAGAGGGAACGGGGAGCTTATTAGAGTGGGGGCGAGGAGTTATAAGAGAGAGGTAGAAACACAATAGAGAGGGGTAGATAACTTTTCAGAGAGGGGTTGGGGACTATTAGAGAAGTGCGAAGGCTTGAGAGAGGATGTAGGGAGTTTATCGTAGAAGGGGTGGGATTTGTTAGAGAGGAATGGGGATCTTATTAGAGAGAGAACGAGTTTTCATTAGAGCGTTTGCAGTCTCTACAGAATAATCTCAAATCATATCAAAATATGCGTGTTTACTTTTTTCATTGTCGTTTTGTTCACTACTGTTCAGGATCTTTCAGAGCTGCCAGATAACGTGAAGGTAAGAAGTTTGAGAAATCGAACAGTATGCTTAGTTTGTCCACGTCAGAGAGAAATTTTTAAGGCAAAATAAACCCTTCACTCCTTCTTACTAGTGATTAAAGAGCACTTCACCGGGACAGCTGTTAATAAGAATATCACAGAATGACATTTTATTTCCCTCTTGCTTTTATTGTGGGAGCAACGTTTATTATACTAACCCGATCGTCAAAAAGGGAAAAGTTTTGGACCTATTGAAGGGATCAGTTTTAGACTTGGTAGTTGAAAAATTGTAGTTAATCATGTTAATTGTAGTTAATCATGCTGCGCGAAGTGGAGTGGATGGGATTCACTTCTTCTGCGGAACTAAAATAAAAACGACTTTTTCCTCAAATGTTCTTAGTCATCATTTGTTATGTATTCGCTTATGTTTTTTTCTCAAGGACGAGATGGACTTTATCTTGGTCAACCGGGTAGAGGATGTTCTACGTGCTGCGTTTGATGATGAATCTCCAGGCATGGCGCAAGCTATCAGCAGCAAACTATAGCGATTGCCAAGTATCGCAAAGAATTTAAGACAGTTCCCGCGCAACTTTGTCAAAACCTAACTTGCCTAGGAATCAAAGGAGAATTGATTCATGCGAAACGACTGGTTTTTAACGTCGACTGAACTTCATCTGTTCCGTAATGTTTCAAAACCGTCATTAACCCTTTAACACCAAAGGGTGATTGCCATCTTAACTCTCCTTAGGGGCCGACCATTTAACTCTTGAGGGGGGGTGTGGGTGTGGGTGATTTTGAAAAAATTTCCCGCAAGCGCTTCTTGGAAGAAAAAAATTGTATGCAGCCCAAATGTAACAGAAAATAAGAGCATTTAGAACGGAAAAAATATCCTGCACAGCAGATTGCTAGAAAAAAAAATCTTGATGACCAGAAATCACCCACCCCCCCTCAAAAGTTAAATGGTGGGCCCCTTTCAATATTAGATCTGAATCAAACACTAAGCTCATGAGAATAAAGGAAATAATCACTAACTAGGGACTGATTGTTTGAACAATTCCTTTTGTTAATACCACAGGAATTGTGCAGAGAAAAGTGTGCAGTTTACGCAAACCGATATTAGGGCGTGAAGGGTTAATGAGATGCAAAACCAAGGTTTAATTAGCATTGTGATAATTGTTTTTGTGTAGCAAGGGATGTTTATGTTGTATACGATCTGTACAATCAGCTGTGCGGAGTGTGATTTCTTTCTTTTTGTCCCTTCCTGTCTCGATTGATGATAACAGAAAGTAAATCAGAATATACCATAAACAAGCAAACTAAAACTTAACAAGGATGGTATTTATTTGAAATAATGATATTGCAAATGTCTTAAGGTTAAGAATTGACCAAAGATACTTAAATTGTTTTTGCTGAAAGACCATACGCTGACTCTTGAAACTACATAGTTGCGCTAGAAATGTAGTTTATAAAAATTATTCATTGATCGGCCTTTATACAAGGAATAAATCATTTTGAGATTTTTCTGTTTTCTTTTGCTTGTCTAATACTGAGTATACACAGGTGCACATATTGGCCGTACTATCTTGCGTAGTAAAAAGTGCATTGCACCCATTGAAAAACCTCTTATCTCACCCTAAATTATGAATGTTAATATAAGAAATTAAAGGATTCTCTTCCTACCCATCACACTTCGCGCTCCTATCTTGCCGTGTCGGTTTCACGCGCGTTGAGACGACTATGAAAGAGTCAGCGCCAAAGTGGCGCACTTTAACACTTTATCAGACTGTTTCTACGCAAGAGTATTTAATTTTTGGTCCATGTCCTTTGCCCCAGTTATGTATTTCGCTAAACTTTTGCCTACAACTTCGTTCCTTCCTTTTAAAAAAATTACTTTTTTTCCGTTGTTCTTTCTCCATAAAGTACTTGAACTTCCTTTTCAAGTGCACTCATGATCACTTTTTTTGTGAGTGTGCTGCCCGTGTGATTCTCTCTTAACTTCTTTGTTGCTCTTTCTGCAGCTTCTTTCAGGTTGCTAACCTTTAACCAGCTGATTGAGGCCGGTAATTCTGCACGTAGACTTTCTGTGCTCTCGACAGCCATTCTCACCTGTTCTTCTCTGATGTATTTCATCGCCCTTGAATTAGGAACCGACCACGATGGCTCCGTTCCGTTTTTCGCGCTGTGGAAGAAGGCGAGGGACAGTGCTACAAGATCGTCATCCAAAGAGAGCCCCCTCACTTCTTCGTGTACAAATGACGTAAACTCATCCTCCTCCTCCTTTCCGTCTTTAGTGTCTTTATCTTTGGTCATTAAGAACCACAGCTTGCACAAATTTCTGGCAAGTATCGACTGGTAAGCATATAAAGCAATGTTCAACAGACTTTCTACTCCTTTACCTTTATCAGGTTCAGGCACGATTCTTAGCAAACTCTTTATTACGTCCTTGCTTTTGCCTACAAAAAGTGAGTGAAGAGTCGCAAGCAGCTTTCCATGATCTTCCTCAGACAGATGTCTGTCCTGCATCTTAAGCAGATGATCCTTCAGTAGTACGCCAACATCTCGCAAATACGTGTTTGACTGAAACGTTAGTGATTGAAGCCTCTTCAACAGACCGACCGTCTTCGGTAGTATCTTTCTCCTCACCTCAGCGACAGCAACGGCAGCTTCTTTGAGATTAGCGGTGTCGTCATATTGAAGAAGGTTGCTCTGAGGCATGAAGTAATGTGGAAGATGCAAGGTCTCTAGGCACTCGTGTAGACGATCCAACATAAACAGTAGGCACCTGGAGGAGTTGACTTCTTTCCAGAAGGCTTCTCCTTTACTCTCGCATTCCCAGAACAGCAGGTTCTTCAAGTAATACGTCGAAATAACATCTGGAAAGTAAGCCTTCTTGATCATCTTCAACAAAACCATAACGTGCCGTTGAACGGGTGAAACACTCCCTCCAAGCTTGTTTTCCGCCAGTGAAAATGAAATTCTCCACTCAGTTTCTTCCATGGCCCATTTACCCTCAGGATCAGTCGTTGCAGAATTCGTCGCTGACTGTCCTGGATTTTGGTAGTACACAAAGGTATCAATGGGCTCATCGATGCGCTTCCCTCTACCAACAGGTGCTAAATGACAACCACTGTCAAATACTTCTTGGACAAGCTCAGAAGAGGGCCAACCACTTGGGCGAGATCGGACCAACCATTCCATAGCAGGCTCAGGCCATGCGATTGGATACTTGAAAACATCTGTCTGATCCTCTTCGTAAGATGGAAAGCCGGCTGACATGAGTTTACGTACCGGACCATGCATGTTGTACGACCACTCACCCTTTTCGCCACTAACATGGGTCCATGGGCGGCCAGCCATGGGGTGATCTGCATGAGGAAGCAGGTACGAGTGGTTAAGATAGGAAACGTTCTTAAAACGCGAATCATGCTCCTTGAAGCCATCGGTCAACCTCAACTTGGCATACTTTGGATCATCTTCTAAATGTTCAACAATGAATATTGGTATCTTGCTCTTTTCATTAGTTTCGACAAAGAAATCATCGACTTTCATCAGGTCAAGATCGGGCTGCCACTGTTCCTTGATATCAAGTGCATTGCCTCGATCAATGTCACTGTTCCTGAGAATGAACTGGGGAATGCAAAACCCTTCAACTCGACTTCCAGCCTCAAAATAGTCTCTGGATAAGCTGCAGAGAGATTCTGGAACTCTTCGCTGTGCCTCGATGGTTGCCTGCCATTGAAACCAATCAGAATACACGTACTCCACTGGGAACATGCAGCTCATCAGGGTGGAAAAAGGCTCAGGCCATAAATTGGATGTCTCATCAAACTGGGTAAAGGCCGGTTCCTGGAAAAAAATTCATACCATCCACACATAAATGGAACTTCTTACTTATGATGAATTTATTTAGGAATTTTGGGTTACATTTTACAGAGGCCTAGTAACCTACAATCAGAGCAGATCAGACCATAGCCGTTTTATTCTCATAAAGTCATAAAATAGAGTTTTGTAATGTACATGTTTTTACTGGTGTGCCTCTTCTTCCACTTATCGTTTACTCGCGAAGGAGGTCAGTATCAATTTTCAATATTCCGGAATTGCTGAGACTGCTCGAGCCACCTAAAGGCCCACTCAGCTGGACTAATTCCAGTTTCTTTAGCATGAAACAACTAGCAGTATCACTATTTCCTATCCACCCCCCCCCCTCGGAACTTATTCAAATCAAAGTTAATATTATCTTAGGAAAAATTTATCAGCTGCACGGCACGGAGAGAAAGCCAAGCGAGACACTCGAAAAACGAAGTACGTACTGAACAAAATATGAACGAGATCAGAATTATTCTAAAGTAATATTTACTGGACGCTTATTCGGAGTTGAGTCCGTTTATCACTGAAATACCCTGTAGAACAGCGCGAGTCACGCACCAGGGGAGGAACGCAAAATCCCGGCGTTCATTATCTATTTATTATTTTGTTTTTTGCCTGAAAAACGCCAAAAATAAAAAATACACCTGTTCTGCAGGCTAATCTCGGAAATGGCTCCATAGAATTTAAGAGTAACTGAAGAAGGGAATGTAATCTCGATAATAGCTTCATAGAATTTAAGAGTAACCGAAGAAGGGAATGTAATCTCGATAATAGCTTCATAGAATTTAAGAGTAACCGAAGAAGGGAATGTAATCTCGATAATAGCTTCATAGAATTTTAGAGCAAGAAAAGAATGCTTTTCCTCGCGCGACAATTATCCCAAACAACTAAACAACTGTGACAGAATGAAATATAGGCGCGAGTGAACACCGTTGCTCGGCCGAGAATCTGTTGGAATGTTAGCCTCCCTGACTGAAGATAATACCCTTACACAATGCTGCGTATTTTAGAAATAAAATAAGTATTTGAATCCGTTTTGATGTGTTTGTTTCGTTTTAGCAGATGAATCCCCCCATTTATTCAATTAGAAGAAGTAAGCCATCTTAACATAAGTTGCGTGAGTTAACGGCTTAAAATCTTACAATATGGATATAAACATGCTGAAGGAAATTACGCGGTTAGTTAACAGCGTAAAAACTTACAATATGTATGTGTCCGACTGTACGATTTTACGCACGGCGTAAAATCCTTTAGTATACACGTTCCCGACTGCACGATTTTAAGCCGCAAGTTAACTGCGTGAACTCCTATTTCAGACTGTGCGCAAACTAGAAGAAATTACGTTGTCGGGGCCTACGGTATTCAGCGAAACGAAACGAAATGTCAACATTGCGTTCAAGATTCCATCCTTTGGTTTGCTTGGGTGTCCTTCAAGTACCTTCACACTGTAAGATTTTACGCTGTTACCTTACGGCGTAGTTTCTTTGAGTCGGTAAAATACATACTGCAGGATTTTAAGCCGTTAACCAACGGCGTAGTTTCTTCCTGTATGTACAGACTATATTGGTCGCTTGAAATCCTACTGTTTACAGATTAAGATGATCGCATCAGTTGTGGTTAACTATTTAAACCGAATGACGACATCCACCTATAAGGCTTGTAACAGCAAATCCAAAATATCAAGGAAACATACCTCGTGAAAGGATTCCATGTTTATCGAATCACCAAAAGAATTAAGTAGAGCCCAACATACGAAGCGTTCCGAAAGCGAAAGATCCTAGAAACTGAGACGCTTCATCAACCTATTATTTCTACACAAAAGTCGAATTACCTAATGAGTATTAATTTTCACAATGTCACGCATGCGTAAATCGTTACACGAACATAAATCGTCACACAAACACCGGTAACCAATCAGACTGCAGGATTAGTTTCATCTCACCGTGCCCTTCACCAGTTCTCAAATTTAGATTTTTTCCTTTCTTGTGCAATAGTACCGATGTGCATATGTTGGCTTCACTACATTTGAATTCTATGGAGCGCAACAAGAGAACGAGCGTGTTCAAGACCTAGAATTCTTCTCTCAAAATTTATCATAAAAGTTGTCGAAACTATGTGCTTAGTCATTGAAAGGTGGGAATGCTCTTTCGGAAGTTGCAATATAGGTTAGTTCCAGGCATGAGAATTTATGAAAGAGATGTACAAAAATGGAAAATAAATGACAGTACATGGCATAAATCAAGTCTATTTTGGGGGAGCACTGCTAAAAATGTTAAATTACACAAATTTTAATGAAGAAGAATTACTATGATATTCTGTCTGATTTAGATGACGTAATTTAGACCAGCAAATTCTTGTTCGTGGAGGGAATGAATGTCCGCAACTGACTCCGGCACTGAGCATCAGATAGGAAGGAGACCTGTCTACTGCATAACTTAGGGTTATGCCTAATCATTCCAAGCAACATATGGCAATCTGCGGTCTTTCCTTGCACTTAGGTGGCACGGAAAGCCGTAAAAATCTTGAACAAAAGCTCATCTTTCAAACCGGCAGTCTAAATCCCACAGGGATCAACGAACGCTTTTCATTCCACTAATTTATTCATGTTTTTCTCGTTGCCATGCTCCCACCAATAACGTAGCTCCATTTTCTGCCTTTAAAAGCACACACAACCCACAATTCCTCTATTCGCTCCGACGAAGGGCTAACGCTCGAAACGTCAGCTTTTGTAATCATTACTGTGGCCAATTTACCATTTCAACTTTGTTGATATATCCAAATTATGGTTAGAGGGCTGCATTCCAAGACTACTTACCTTCTTAGAATCCTCGCCTTTTTCGCTCTTTCAGGATTGGAAGACATGGAAAGTAAGCTTACACGAAATACTAGTGCCGAATTTTTCAAGTTTTTCTAGACTTAGAACCCATGGCCCTCTCATCTTTTCACCGTCGATCAAAACAAAATGGCGGACTGGAGCAAAGGTCGCAACAGTGTTACGTGAAGGTCAGCATTCTCTCGAGCTCTCTTCTTTTATCTCACTTTGCTTTTTCGTTTTAACGGACTAAAGGCGCGATAATTGGCCAAAGTAAGTTGACCAGTTAGGTGCTTTAACTCATTTATTGTTTTGCTTTCGCTGTTCATTTGATGTTGAATTATGGTATGCACTCTCGGGTTTATAGATTCGTGATTATTATTGAGCATTTTGTCAAATGGAAACGTCAGAATGAGTCACTGTCAATATAAACAACAAATTTAAAAATATAGCCAAATTATTTGATTCCTAAATGATGTCAGAGTAGCTTAAAATTTTTAAAGAAACTCCCCTAGTTATCAATATGACCTTTCGTCTTTTGCAGCTTAGTAACCCCCAGTCCATTTAAAACTGAGATTACTCAAGTTTGAAAATTTCAAAGGGGTCTCTTTCTTTTTTCCCTGTATTTTCAGGCATTAATTCACCAAAAATAACTATAAGAGGAGGTTAACGAAGTGGGCGTAATGTCGATGAAACATAACGTTAAGCTATTGCAACGTGAAACAATAAATTAAAACACTAATGTGACCTTGAATTACTGTAAAATATTGTAAAGTCCGAGCTTTCGCTGCTCGGCGGCATCATCCGTCCCAGATGATGCTGTTGAGCGGCGAAAGCTTGGACTTCTACAATATTTTACAGTAATTCAAGGAGACATTGGTGTGTTTATTGTTTTACCTAAAATGTTACTGAAGGACAACATTCAAAGATATTGCAACGTGTTTTTGGTTTTTCTATAAATCTAATATACTGTTTGGGTGAGCTTGATACATGGCTCGTCAGAACAAGCACAGTTGTTAAGTGGCTCAGATGGAATTCATATCAGTTATTTCTATGTGAGATAATGTAGTCATTGGCACCAGTAGTCTAACATGTTCTTGTTTGACAGCATTTGCTACTGCCAGTTGTCTAGAAACTGGCTTACATTTGATCCTCCCCTACTTGATCAATGTTTTTGTTTGTTTGTTTGTTCATTTTTGTTTGTATTTGGAACTTGTATTTTCTTGCTTCTGGGGCTGTTTACATCAAATGCACTTCTTTTTGCAACTTTATGTCACTAGCTCATACAGCTCAGTGTGTACCTTTTTTGGAGGAACACTCTGAGATCCGGAAAAAGTTCACTTCAATTGAGATAATGGTTGCAATGAGTACTTTAACTTTTTTTCAGCAAATTGTAACTTTGTTTCTCTTCTAAGGGGAAGGGTCATTTCAAAGATAGGTACCAAAAAGGGCTTTTAAATGTGTTAGTACAAGAAAATTTCCATTTGTTTAATTAAGAACTAAGACAACACCATGTTACTTTACAGTCCAGAGCTCATGACAGCTGCCCTTTAACTACACATATGAAGTTTTGGTGATGATGAGTTACTGTGGTGATCTTTGTGTTCTGAGACACATAAGTGTTTTAAATACTATAATTAAATCCTTGTGAATCAGCTTTTCATATAATTTATGAAGCTCAAATTTGAACTCAAATACACATACAATACTAGTATAGACCACTTTCATAAATGGCTGCCGGAATAAAATTCTTTTGTTTACATATAAATTTGCCTGGGTGGCCTCGTTCTCCAGTACAAAATTCAAAAGAATACATTATCTCAAGCGAGGCCACTCGGGCAAATTCGAATTTAAACAAAAGAATATTAATCCGGCAGCCATTTATGAAAGTGGTCTATAGGATCATGTAAAATTTATAACAAAGCCTTTGAGAATTTTTTTGATGCTAAGCTAAATAAATGCTAATAACGACTAGTAATTGACATAATTCTTGATAGAATTCTCCTTGTTTTCTGTGCAATTACCAATATTCAGCTTCATTTATCATATAAACGTAATGCAGAAATGAAGCACAGGAGATCATTTATTTCATTTAAGTAAAACCCATCTTTTGCACTATCATCTGTGTGAATTTATCAGCCTTGACATACCTTACCATTAGTCTGGGTGACACACTTGTTGAGCTTCGTTTTCATTTGGGGAATATCATGAGAATGTTGTTCATCAAATACAAAGATTCAGCTGGAATTACCACTAAATATGAGTGATAAATTCTGGCACCAGAATGGTGCACATTACTCTTTTTACACACTTTCCAGTTTTACCTTGGCAATATTTGCTTTCAACAATTTAATTGAAACACGTTCTACCAATTTATCAAAGTCGGTTGGAGTTTTTTTTCTTTGAAAGTTACTGTTTGCCAATTTATATTCAATGCTACCTTTGAGAATGCATATTTTAATGGATAAACAAACAAACAGGCAGAGTAAATTTTTTAATTATGTGGGACTGCAAATTACATTTCATCTGAGCAAGGCTGATATACTTGAATCTCCATAGTTACCCAATGAAGCACCGTTGCGTTTTAATCTCTTTGCAACTCAGATGTGGCAGCTATTTGAAAACACTTTACTGAACAAGAAAATGAAAAATATGAAACAGAAATAAGTCTAATATATAAAGCACACTCTAGTTCTTATTGGAAAAATAGGCTTGCCATTACCACCTGTTTACTCTATCTTTGCAAAAATTTCAGTGTCATGGCCCCTTTGGTGAAGCGAGTCTAAGAGTTGACTGGGAGAGAATTTCGAAATTATAAATAAGAAAATAAGAAAAAAGGACAATGTTTGTCCAAAAAATTAGGTAGCCGAGTTTTTTTCTTTGTCAAAGAAAAGTTCTACCTTGGCTGTGCCATACGAATATTTTTGCCCTTAGGTGAGGCACTAACGGTACTGGGTATCTCGAGTCAGGCGCCGTATTGTCGGTGAAATCTTATGGAAACTTTAAGCGGCGCACTCGTTTATTTGAATTGATTTGACGTTTTTTTTAATTTGGTCAACAAGAGAGGTGCTTATTCAGAGGGGTGCATATTCGGGGTGACGCTGTGCATTAATGTTTATTTTTTGTGTGTTGTCCAAAATTGGCAATCCATGCTGATATCAATAGCGGTAGTTGCAGAGAAAACAATTAGCCAGGGTAGTATGTGTTCATTTCTTTGGGACAAAAACGGTATCCGTGAGAGGGAAAGCCCTTTTATCACTTTTCTGCTCATTCGGGACCGCCTTCGCTTTTAGCTGGTATATGGGGCAATCATTAAAGACGCGAACATAGATTTTGGAATCGCGTTTGTCATAATTCTTTTTAAGTCGAATTAGTCGAATATGTTTCAAAATGCGTCAATTTCTTATTTTCGCTGCTTGCGCCGTTTTGTTCTATACCATTTATATCGTACCTATTCCTTTATTATATTGCTTTCAATATGACATAACCTTTTTTTATCAATTTCTTTATGTAGTCTAACTTCATGCCACTCTTTAAACTTCTCACTAAGATTTTTAGCTTTCTGATCGAATTTCACTTGTTTGATTCGATCTAAAGAAGTCGAAGGCCGAAACGTTGTGATTAGACTGGAACAGTTAGAAGTTGGTTTCTCTACTACTTATTTGTACTCTTATATGTTTATATTTACTCCCTGTGATTGAAAAGCTTATATGAGGAACAGACCCTTTAAAGTGAGACTCATCTTTTGTCTACCGATGGGCTAGCTAGCACGCGACGACCACGAGGACTCCTTCCACCTTTTTATAACGGAGAATTTTCTAATCATCTTCTTGACACAAGGAGGGATATTTGTTGTCTAGTGTGTGCGACGAAGTTAAACCAGTGTACGGAAACCTAAGTTTGATAAGTTCTTTTCCCAAGGAATCATTTTAATTAAACAGGTACTCACTATAAATACATCGTTTACAAAGAAAAAAATAGGCATGACATGGCAAAATAATGGAAGCCACATGGATTGTGTGCGGTTTACTTAGCGGACATTTTTCAAGTCAAATTCAATTTGTGTGGGTTATTTGCATGCTCATAAATTTTCCTTCTTTTATATGTAGCGGGAATATTGCCAAATAAAAGCTGTTGCTCTGCCATGTGTTAATGTGAGAGGCCGTAAATTAGGAAATCAACTGAATTGTCTAAGGCACCGTATCCAAGGCTCTTCAGTGCGTTTCGTACAGCATTCAGGTGTCGGTCGGGAGATAATGAAGGAAATACAATTCCTGTTCGTGTAGGGGGAACAATTTTTAGACCTTCATAGCTTAAAATAACTACTTTCCGTTTCAATGGTTAAAACTGCATCCGTTGTAATAAGTTTGGCAATTTATATTGTATGTTAAAATTTGGCTCTGCTCCCTAGGTATAGGTTTTGTTTATAGCGTGTTTTATCAAATGTTCTTACACTGACTTATATTTGCAACTGCCGCGGGCTCATTGATCCAATAGCACGTGGTAAGGTAGAATAACATAGGTCTTTTGTTTGTAGGATTTATTTGTTATTCGCCGCAGAACGTCGACCGTTACTTACTTCTTGAAGGCAGAGAGATGTTTTTATCCCGTATTTATGGATTTCTGTCTCAGGGATGAAGATGTAACACAGGTATCAATACAAGTGTATGTGTCATCTTTGTATATTATGCACCAGTCTTCTTTAGGTGGACGGCTGTGGCATATTTTCTCGGAGGCCGGATGGTAGTTGTTCATTGGCAGTCTAACGGAACTAGTTATTTGTACATGTACGCAGTCACTGTCGGGATGAGCGAAATTTATCTCATTCGCATTTACCTTTTTGCTAGAAAATACCACTGCGCCATTTATCTTTTGATTTACTAGATTTTAAACGAATCAATAACCACCTTAAGTCTTTCTGGCTAATATGAAATATATAGTTTAGTAATTCGTTGCAGTTTTGTAGACTAAGAAGGGGCCGTTTGGCTTTTATTATTCCTTAGTTTTCGTGTCGATTGCCGTCGATTGCCCATGAAATATCTTGGTTTCGATATCCTGTCTTCATTTGTCGCGTGTACTCTTTTGATAAGAATGTTTTCCTGATTTTGTCTTTGCTACATGAACATGCTGTGTGAGGGACTTGCTGCGAAAAAGGCCACCATGTTTTTAAACACGCGTAGTTTGCCATTGTTTGGGACCGTGTGGATCAGAGTTTGGTGTAATCTATTATTGTTTATACTTTTATTTTCGATCCTTTCTAGTCCGATTTACTTTCGATAGGGTCTTTTATTTCATTTTCTTAGCAATGTCAGATGGATAAGGAAATAGTTCTGAGCGCAAAACTTTTCCTCCTGGTAAGGCCTTTCAAGTGTGGCTTTCCTTTACAATACATTCAATGATTTCTAACCTCTTAAAAAATACGCGAACGTAATGAGCCATATTTGTCCTGTTGTTTGTCTCCAGTAAAAAATACGATTGCAAGTGAAAGTTAAAGTTATCAGGTGACTGGAGTTTCGGTCAAGTTTTGATCCATTCAAAACATGGACTACGGACTACGATCACCAAATCGCTTTACGTACCCTTTATCTCTCCATGCGAATGCAAATAATTTGAAGTTCGCTTCGTTTGTCTTGGCACCTTGTACCCAGTCCTTAAGTTAGATTCTGTTGTGTTATCTTTTTGTTATGACTGAGAAAGACACCTTACAACCTCGCTAAGTTATCGAAACCTTTGGTTGGTAAATGGATTCTAGCTTTATTTGTTGTCTTGGCAGTTTTGTGTCCAAGTTTTAACGCACCACCTGTTTCTTTTTTGTCCTAAACCAAACATCACCACATGTGCGTGACGACAGCGTGGCATTAATTATGCTTTAATTTACTTTCGTCACTTTCTACCTTGAACTATTCCCGTTTCCCTTACAGTTGATATTCATAAGGACATTTGATCCGCTCAATACCTGTAACACAAGTTTCACATGCTCCTTTCTATTTTTATCATGTCGGATATTCTTACTCGTGCAAATTTTGCAGAGATCACTCCTAACGCACAATTACAGGAAACCTTTTTCATTGCTTTGAGATTGGCTCTTTGTATATGCATTTCGTGGCGTCACTAAGAGTTGCCCAGAGTGACACAAAATACACTGTAGTGCGGAACCTGAGGCAAATCTTAGTAGAGACACGAAATGAATGTATAAAGTTAACATTTTTCCTATATTTATTTTTTTCCCCGTTGCAGCTATCCAAATTGTTTATGGAATATTACTTTGATGTTTGCGGCCAACGGTGTGTTAAGTCAGCCCGCTGTAGATAAAATGAAGTGCGATTTCCGTTGTTTTACCTTGAATAAAATGAACTTGAGTTAATATAGAATATAGTTAATGAACGTAACATCACTACCACCAGAGTTAGTAAAGGGGACTGGGTCCCCTCTACTAACTCTGCTGTCACCCATATACTTGGTAACCAAAGTTCAAGGGATATAAATTTTTTTAAAATATCTAGATCTGAGAACATCACATTTAGTGAACTGCATTTTGTTCGTTCACTTCAGCACACTTCAATACTCTTCTTTACACCACAATGCAAGTTACGCTCCTTTATCTGTCGACAAGAAACACCTCCCTGTTAGTTGAAAAGTGTTTTGTCTAATATTCCCGAAAGTAAATTAGCGCCGATGAACTTTAATGGCATCATTCACCGAACTTGTCAACTTATCGCCCTATTTTGGGGACAAAGAGACTTCAACTGCTTTTTGATTTTACCGAACAGGAAGCCATTTTCTATTACGTTAGATACAATAGCTGAATATTTCCTAGTTAAAAGTTGTGGTTACATAAAAATTCCTTCGGCTTTGTTGCGATGTTGATCAAGTTTAACGCCTGTGCCAACATACCATAACTGTGGGTCAATATGAGGTGAACACCGGTAGAAGTCTGTTCTTTGATAAGATTCTACCATATTGTCTGCCAAAGAGAATGGCCATAACCGTATGACATAAAAAAAAAATTGTACAGGGTTTTAACTCTTGCTCTTTCTTCGCAGAATTAAGTTCGTCCTCGCAGGAAAAAGAAAGTGTACTACCTTCAGTCCAAAGAGGAACTCCAGGGGAGTATGCGGGGGGCATAGGTTGCCTCTTTTGTTATCTTGTTTTGGACGGTGTCAGTCGTTTTGGGCAGCAAGGCTGACACTGATAATGAAGTCACCTCCTCGTCCAGGTGGGTAAGTAATTTTATTTCGTTCGAATCTTTGGGGACCAATTGTATGATAGGAATAGATAATAATGATGATGATGTTGAAAATGACAAAGTAACGATTAAGGGAGCACCTACACACTGGGCTAATTCTGTTATCCTTCTGACTTGCAAAGTGACTCACAGGCACTTTGTTGTGATCCGCACAATAGTTTGTAGACGCAAGTACGCGTGAAAAATTGAATTTCGCTGAACGAGCACATTGCCTACTTAACATGATGAACGACAGATATCTGTGTATTTTTCATTTGCATAAGCATTGGTCAACTGACCCTTTTGATCAGAATGAATTTTTAACTTCCTTCAGAAAAACTCTACACGAAATGTGAAACCCAAGTTGATCAAGGCGAGTGTGGAAACTGCACTTAATTAAAGAAAAAACTGAACCTCAGCCTAAACAAGCTCGCGAAATATACCGGTAGAAGTCATTTTATTTGCGTTACACACTTTTCCAACCTTATGTTCCCTTACCCTGTTGTGTCTTCCTGCTGGATAAGCCTCATGCCTGGAGGAAACGCAGTTTTTAATCATGTGAACATGAAACAAAACGTAACATTAACTGTCATAGTGGTTTTTTTTTGTAGAACCATTTGAAGTTTTACATCGATTTATTCTAATGGGTTGGAGGGAGGGGGTGTCAACAGATAGTACTGATAAAGCGGTTCGGACTATTTATGAGGTGTTTGTTCTATGAATTCTTCTGCTTTTATGACAAAAGACTTTTCATTCGGTTAACGTGGACGCTTTGAAAATCGAAAAACGCTGTGTAACAGATGCGACAATCCAAAACATTGAAAATGAGCCTTGAATAGTAACGAATAGTACTAACGTGATTATCTTCCTAATAAGGACATGTATTCAAATTGACCAACATAACGTTGCCCTCCCCTTTTGGGTCTTTGCGCTCAGTGAATAGACGACAGTTGAGATTATGAATCATAAACCATATCAGTGATCCAAGTACATACGACAATTAACCGGTGTAATCGCGAGGGAAAGTCAGCAATCGTTGAAAAAAACCTCACAACCATTTCATATTTGCGACGAATAGATGGAGTGAATTCGATAGTGAAGTCACGTTAGCATCACTATATTATATATTCACGAGGTTGAGAATAAGATGCAGATTAATTTTGAAACTGAAAGGAGAGTACAAATCAAAGTTGAAGATTTTTAACCTACCCGCGCACTTCATCTTTTACATTATCCTCCATTAAAAGCTGCGGACCCCACTTGCGTTCAAGTTATGCAAATGCAGTCCAACTGGAGGGAAAAAAAAAAGATGAAGTAATATTTTGTTGCCTTCTTTTTTCTCCCACACAGGGTACTCACCCCAGTCCTCCGGTTGTCAATTACTGTACGCTCATGGGGACACGAGAGATTAAGAGACACGAAGAAGCAAAGAACGGTAAGTTAATACTGTTTGAAGTTTAACATTTTTTTGACTAATGATGATATTATGTACACACTTCCACTTATTATAATGTCACCCTGGAGAACACTTTTGTTTCGAAATCACCGAATTGATTTACGAATCGAGGCGGTCGAAACCATGGATACGAAGGTATTAACGAGTGTGCTGATCAGGAGCGACTGCAGATAGTTCTGTTGAGAGAGATTAAATCAGATTGTACGAGTTCACTGATTCCCCGTAACTCAGAACTCTTGCTTTCAAATCGAAGGAGAATAACAAGACACTGAAGAGTTTACGTATTAGCCCCCACTGTAAAACGGTTTCTTAGTAAACAACTCAGTTTTCATGTAATTGTGTGGTAAACGATTTGAGTAATCCAATGGGGAATATTGATTGGGCAGAAGCCATATCAAACAGTGGTTAGGAAATCCTGAAACACCATAAAAAGACTGAGACTACCATGAAAACTTAGTCGTAGTTTAGTGGTGGGAGATGGGTTGTTGGGGCAGTCAGGAACTTTTTTTCCAAAGTCCTTTGACGATAGAAACGACTGTAGCAAAGGCGAAAGGCGTTGGTCTATGAGATATCCTCAAGGGTCGATGAAGATTCGAGCTGAAGTCGTTGCCCAGTTTTAGGTGATTGGTATGAGTAGCTGCAAAGAAAGAGACATCCTTCCAAATCATAACTTATTTATTCATTTCTTACAAAACCCAGCACAGAAAGGTTTTTCAATTATTTTCATACTTAAATTGTTGTTTTAGATCATTACATTTTGGGCATATGTGTCTACATATTCATCGGTCATACTTATTCGTACAAAACGTGGACCTCAAACCCCTTCAGAAATGTTGCTTACGTCAGTTGAGATGGTAGGCTTTTCACTGCTTAGTTAATCGATGAGGCGAAAGTGACCTCAATTACACTTTGTATTTATATTAAAAATTGAGGTGGCCCTAGTCGGGTAAATAAAATTAGAGATATGCTTTGAAGACAACAAATACATGTAACTATACGAGGAGTATAAAAATGGAGAGCCACACTTGTACTCAACTGATTTTCTGATAATTAAATAATTGGCTTCGCTCTGAAAATCTTTGATTATTACTTAATTTAAAAAATTTTCAATAGACTAGGACATTTACCAACAGTGGTGAGGCTGCTACAAGGGTGATTTGTAATACCTCTAACATCTTAATTTCCATCCTTTTGAAATGAAGTAAGGGCATATAACAATTGTTACCATAGTAACTGAAATCGCAAATGGGAGAACACTCGCAAGAAATGTGTTTATCTCTTTGATAATAGATGAAGTGAAAGACAAGTTTTTGATAACTTGATGTTAAGGGGTCACAGCTACCTTATATTTTGTCCAAAAAACCTTGGCAGTTCTCAACCCATTGGTCGAAGTGTTCTACGTATGTCTGGGCATTTCACTTGTTTGCTATTTTGAATAATTTGCTCTGTTATTATTTTATGTATAAAACTATGTGAAATGCCCTCAACAATACAACTGTTACAGCACTGCTTGTCCTATACATCAATTACCAGTCTAAAATCAATCAGCCCTAGAAAAGGGAAATCGTATGGACTATTGCGATTTGGGGAATGGGTTACAAGGATTTTATTTTTACATACATCGAATGAAAGTACTTGAAATCTTTCTTTTCACTCCTTCACATTCATTTGCTGCAATATTCCAATATAGCAGTTTACTACAACGATTCCTGTGGATCAAACAAGAAATCGAAGTGTAACCCATTTGTTATCTCAGTATACTGTTCTAGAATAGGTTACATTTTACTGCAATTACAACAGAAGTGAGCACTAAAATTGTTTTTTTTCCCCTTGTCCTTGATGCACACGCAAACCTGCAATGCGCTCAACTGACCATGAATTTACCAAGACGGTTTGATAGGTTGATGAGAGATTAATGTTTGGAATCTGCCAAGTCTCATTATTTGAAGTGGGGAAAGTAGCCAAAGTACTTACTGACGTGCTTAACACAACATTACAGCAGGTTGAGTCTCTTTGTTTTTATCTATCAGTAACAATGAACTTACCGTCTGTTGGTTTGGAATCCCAAATTCTTCCAGGTCTATATCATTAAAAAAAAAAAAAAAACAATAGAAGTGAGGTTATGATGTTGTCTTACGACAGGCTGTCGTATTTACACGAGGGAAAGTAGGGTTCCTGCAATTCTTGGTACGTTTCTAAGCCCCAGAGATTACTTAATGGTGTTAGGGGAAGAAAGCTGCACCCCGTAAGTAAAGGAGTCAGTTTAAGTGGCTGGAGAGAGTGCGAAACGGCGAGGGTGCGTTATGGAAGTCTTGTATTCTATTGCAAAAGAGTTGACACTTATGTGTTTGAAGAGGTCTAAACATGGATGATGTTCGGGTGATTTTCATTTGGTGGAGATGTTTCTAATGTCCCCATACGTGAAATAAATTCTGTTAATTACCTTGTTAGCTGTGAGCCCCATGTTTTCGATTTGGATGTGAACACTTTAAAGAATAGTAGCAGTATTTGTACTCTTTGCTCAAATGTTGTGACATGTTGCTGTAAATTGGACAGGAAGACGTTGCAAAAAAATCAATTTTCGAGGTGCTAAACAAGTTGACCAAGCTTAAGTACTGATTTACTGAAGTAACTGATGACTAAGTTCTCGTTCCTTTTGATGGTGGTCAGGGAAAACCCAGGAAATCTCCCTTTGAGTCAAGGGAAATTTACCTCTTCGAAAGAAGTTAGTGAATAAGTGAAAATTAAACGAAATATGCAGTTTTCCATCTCTTCTTGACGAAAACTGGGGGCACTTAACCTTTGTCATGTCATTTACATTGTTTAGTGCAGTTGACATATTCCTAACAAGAATTTCTCGAAAATTTTAAGTTCTTCGGTACTTTTCAAGGACTTGAAAGTTGTAGGATTGGTTAAATATTGTTTGATGAAATTTAAAACAAGCTGGTGTTGGGTTGCCAAAAAGATCAATCCCTTTCCCATGTTACTTCAAGTAATAAACAACTCATGCACATCATTTGTGACTTGCAGAAAGCATAAATTCATGGGTGGAAAGGATGGTTTTTTGATAGGAGATTGGAGGGCATTATGGTGATTCTTTGATGAAATTGGTTATTCAATTGGTTAGGGAAAGTTAACGTTTGATAGGGAAAAGAGAGGGCATTTCAAAAGCCCATGGCTCTGACCACCATGTCTTTGCACTGCTTATCATTGAAAATAGGCTGTGCCTTATAATAAAATAGAGTAATTTTATGCCCCATTTTCTCTTTATCAGTGATGATTATTTGCATTAGTTTTGGCTCTACTTACCATTGAAAATTGTGTGCAGCCTCCGTCATGATGCATACTACAATAAAAAAGTAAATATTACACTGTGACCATAGGAATAGATAATAAACTAAGCACTTTGTATGCAACCTCTCAACGTATTTGCTTTGAACTCTTCACTGGTCTTCCAGACTATCCAGAGCACGAATATTTATTTACCTTGAAAGTGTCCTCATTCTTGTTGAACTGTTTAAAAGTAAATACTCCCAAAGGTGTTTTGCGAGATTTATCAAATTCTTGCGTGTTGAAGCCTCTCTTCCCTGGCGATAATCTTCCTGCAGAAAAAAATGTTGAGGAAAAAATTGTTTTTTGTCTTCCGTCTATTCAATTTCTTATGTTCATCGAAAGATTAAAAGTTTTATCTAGGCACTCACTTGAAGCATTCTGTTTTGTTGTCGAAGGCATACAGTGACTGAATTAAATTCTTCTTCACCTGGATTCACCTACCAATATTGAGGAGAACAAGTTGAATATTTTTTAAGCTGAAAATTTTTCACTTCCATAACAAAGGCTAACTCAGTGGTCCAAATTTTTATGTTTAAGAGTCCCACGTAATTGTTCAATAGAAGAGTTGAGATTCGGGCATGCTTATTTTCTCTTTAATTGGTCTCAGGCATCATAACCAACACACCTATACCCATGCGAACACTCATTATAAGTTATCATTTAGAAAAGTTTTTCAGTGTTAAATTAATTTAGCCTTGCGTTTTTGAAAGGAGTAGTAATGTACTTAAACTACTTAGAAAAATACGTACCCAGTTACTCCATTTTTCAATAATCTCTTCCCTGGCAAGAGTAATAAAAACAGTTCTCAAGTGAATTTGTGTTGTGTGAGTTGTAAGCGGGGGTTTTGCATTCAATCTCAAAACGATCTTTACTGATTCTTAAAATAAAGCCATTTTTTGGGGTAAATGTTTCTTTAACTACCTTCTAGCCTGGTATCCAACTTCCTCGAGAGAATTCTTGTCCAAGTACTTCATCAATGCGGACATTGTCTTGCAAACAGCCCTATCTAGGTGAATCATATTTTCTGGGACCAGCTGTTAAGAAATAATAAGAAAAAAAATTATTTACCCTTTTCGTTGGCTATTTGATTAATATTTGCACTTCATTTATTTTATATGGAACCCGGTACATGCAACAAGTTATTTTACAGTCTTTCAGTTCACTTCTTTAAGATGTCGACTTATTAAACTTTACCCCGTTTTGTGTGGGGAAAAAATAGGATAATAAAGTGCTTACAACTTAATGACAATTTAAATGTTAGCGCCCAGGCAAAGTCTTCGAGCCATTTGCTGCCTAGCAGAAAAGGAAATAAATGATCAAATCAAAAGATCGAATGAGCTATTGAATTAATGTACAAGTTGTCATAAAGATGCCCTTCATTGTGCACTTTTCCAAAATGACACGATATAGCTACGATATTTTAGATTGAGTTGTATCAAAGAGTAATGGTATTTGCATCAAGATACTTTGACTTTACTTAAATGTGCTGTTCATAGACATGGGTTCGCATTCATAGTACACTAAGAAGGACATAAGACATACAATTAACTACAAGGGTTATCCTCCGAATTCTGCATCGAACATTTTCATTATGTGAAGTGAACAGGTTGCCAGTTGGATGAGACGCCCGATTCTTATCTCGTTGTTTAAAATCTGCGTTAACTTGGATTCCCCTTCTATTATGCTTTGCACTTTACTCTAATGGTGCAGCGCAGCATTAAATCGTTACTTACTCTGAAACTTAGTACTTCTGACTGGCTAATGGATGTCGTCTTCAGAGACCAGGGTGTTGTTGTTGTGATACGGAGTCGATTTCGGCGGCCTTCTTCTGCTCCTTTTTTCGTCCCCCTCGAAGTTGTGCGTCGTCGAAATGACTATTTTTGTCGTTTTACATCAAAAATGATTCGGTAATACTAAGTCAGGCGTTTTTAAAGACGGCGCACGAAGCATCTCATAGAACTTACTTGGCCTGTATTTTGGTTGGTTGTATTTCCTTTTCAATTTTCTCAATTCAGTTTTTCAGCAATACGGGCCCCGGATGCGGCCTACTAAGCCACCCGGGGAAACAACTGGTAGAGGGAACCAGACATGGGGGAAGGGGGTTATCATTATCCTGTTCGTATGTTAATGGCTTCGTTGTAAATTTCTTTGAGTCACATGTTCACTGCTTGATCCAATCTTCCAGTGACTCGTTCTGTGGATTTTCACATCCTGCAAAAATGCTTTACCCCATCTCAAAGGTAGTCTTAGACTTGAGATGGTGTCCATACGCCTTCTCTGGCCTTGTGACTATCTGTTGCAAATTTGAGAGTTGACTGAATCTCTTTGCCTCATTTGCTTTGTGTTCATCCAACTTCTCTTGAACTCTTAATCTCTGTTTCGGATGTTTCATGGAATTCCCTTTCATTATGATGATGTGAGTTCTGTGTTTTTCGGAATGCTACATTGTCGGACAAGAATGCTAGGCGCCACTGAAATGACCTTCAACGAATTTCAATATTTAGCCTCAGTGAGTGTCGGAGCTTTTTTCTGAAGACATTCAATGAATAACACTCATATCTGAGCGTCCCTGCAGTCATGTGATTCACCTTTCAGTGACCTTTTCCCAAAACAGCTGCCTAATTGTTTTTCCGTCTCTGTTGTCAAGCCAACCTCGCAATCGTCAATAATAACCTTGTCTTTTGATCCCTCAATTTCGCTAGCAAAGTGTTTCAGGCAAGATGATTACAAATTAAAATTGAAAATTGCTGAGTAAATGCTGCTCTTTTTTCGCAGGAAGTTAAAAATTTTTTCTTTCGTTTCTTTGTTTTGCTTATTCACCCTTGTCAAGACACGTTTCCGGTGAGAAATTTATACTGCCACACTGTCTGTAGACTATTAGCATGGTCAAGTAAACGGATAGACTTAAAACGATTTTAACGTCAAAAACTAGTTAACTGGGAAACACTTTTCACAAACATCAGCATTACTACGGCCTTAATTCTGATGATACCAGAAGATTCGTAACTCTTATTAATAATGATAAACATTTCTTGACTATTTTGCCTTTTCTGATCAAGTGTTTTGAAATAAATTTCATTGCGTGCACAAGCCCTCATCACTTGAACAATTTTCATTGTCAGAGTTAATTGTTGGTCAACCGTAGCGGGATGATTTGGACGGAATTATGTCAGTTAGACATCACATTTGTATATCTTGTAGAAATTTGTTTAGGTTTGTTCCAGGACCACTCAGCTGCGTCTCTCGATCTTTGTATTTTGAATCGACTTATTTTTTGGTATCCGTAGTCATATTGCGGTTAAACCACCAAGAAATTTGAATGCAGTAGTGCAATCTCATTACTCTCTAAATTAATGTGGAATATGTGTTTTGTCTGAGTTAGAAGTTTAACTAAGTTCAGGTAGTCCTGATTCACTAAGTCAAGTTGAACTTTTGGCACCTTTGATATTCGACGTCGAACTCCTTTTTTTTGAAATGACCAAAATGTGTCTAAGACTGAAGAATTATGTAATGATATTGTATCAGCGGGTGGTACTGCGGAAGCCGACGGGGAATTAGCATATTCCTTACGGGGCTTTCGAGTTTACTTGCACTGAGAGATCTGGGTACTAGTGCACTTGCGTACTAACACGCTTTGATATGAATAGTTTTCTGGTTTAGTTTAACCTCAAGCTCACTGATTACAAATACCCTTTTGTTGTTCTTTACATGCCACAAGGGTGAGTTATGAAGGAACTCAAGGCGCACGAAATTCCCAGTGAACCAATGTTTCACAGAGTTGTTAATCATGGTATAACAATGCCTGATATTTTGTTAGCGCTATATTACCTTTGAATGCGCAACAGTGGTCACCCACAGCTAAACATCCAACAACTTAAATCTAGACTGTAAGGAGCTTCTCACTGGTCTTTAATGGTCAGAAAATATATTTTGATTTGGACGTCTGCCATTTTAACTTCGATCCTGAATACTATTCAAACGCGCTGCAAGACACTGCATCTCTCTTGGTCATTCCCAAGATATGCTTTAAATTGCGATGATTTCACAAAAAGGAACCAAGTTGAAGCCTGTTGCTGTTGAAAAAGATCTGGGTATATTGATTAGCCACGATTTGAGCTGGAATTATCGCGTCGATATTATCTCGTACAGATCTTAAAGGTAGACTACGGGTAGTTGCGAAGTCCGTCGCACGAGTCAAAGAAAAAAGTGAAAAAAATTGCTGTTAGCGCGCCGCGTGGAACTCTTAGAGTGACGCCGATGCGCTGCAAGAGCTTCGTGAGTAAGGCGCTCGAACTGAATTTTTTTCTTACTTGCGCGACAGACTCAGCCGAAAAGAAGGGACCTCCCGTTGTCTAGCTCATAGGATATATATAGCTTAAAACAGATTCAGCGCTAGACCACGAGACTCGAGGAATATTCTGAGCACGAGCGCCTTAATAAATGAAGTTTATTACCATTACCATTTCGTACGGAAAATCATGATCTAGTATTCTTTTTTAAATGTTTAAGAATATATCTAATTTAGATACTTTTGGGCCTCGTATCGTTTCTCTCTTACAACAAGCATTTAAGAAATGTAGACTATCTAACACTTGATGTCCCTTTTAGTCGAGCAGAAGCTTTTAAGAATTCCTTTTTCGAGTTTGTCGCTCATTGAGTGACCTACCTCTTAATATTAGGGAGTCTAACACCTTGTCAGTCTTCACAAGAATATGTTTATTTTTTTAATGATAAGTTCAGTGCTAATTTTTTTTATCGTAAGTATCATACTTTTGTTGTGAGGTAATCCTTGATACTGATTTTTAATAAAAATAGATAGATAAAAGATTAAGTAATAACGTTGGCGGCTTATTTTAAGGAATCTGTTATTCTGTTTTAAGCTGTCCTCAGAGTTATTGGATTGACCTGGAATTTCATTTAATTTGAATTTGTATTAAGATTAAAGAGTAGTGGCGGGGCGTATATGAGCAATCAGTGCGCACCAACAACGGTAATAAAGGGTCCTAAAGTTTGTTTGAAGTAGTTTCTTAGATTCGACGAAGATATCCACAATTAATTTTACAGAGCATTATGATACATAAAATGTATTAAAACAATTTTCTTATTTTTGTCTAAAATATATTCTGGGAGTGTCCCTTATCTGGTTCCGCCTATTTTTTGTTGATAAGGCTAGTCTAATTAAATGTTGTCGTGATCAGTGACTCGAACCATCAGGTAATCATTAGCAATACAGATAAGGTTTAACGTTTGAGGGGAGACTGAAAATAGCCTTGGGAACTATTATTACCTCTTTGTATGGGGTTAGCTGATGTTAGTCGACAATCAAACCATCGTCAACTGAAGGGCGAGTCTCCTGAACCGGAAGGTTTATTCTTTCTAGTCAGAGGTGTTTTGGAAGCGGCTCTCCGCAATGATGCAGCGGCAAACCTTTAAATCTAGCCGCGATATGGCTTTTGTTGTAATACCATACGACGCTGGCACTTTCTTTTCAGGCCGCAAGAGTCGAGGGAATGAAACGGGCAAGGATCGTACAAAAGTTTGTTCAATTATTGAAGAATGCATGAAAACACTTGAAGAGGTTGATCAAGCAACACATTTCTGCCCTGCCTCTCTAATATTTGAATTTTGATGCGTCGCGGAGCATTATGGGAGATGAACATTAATCGATAAAATGTGGTGCATACAAGGATATTGTGTTCTCTCTCGAGCAACTTTTATCAAAAGGAAAAAATATTTTCTTTAGAAAGTTGGAATGCAAGTAATGACATTAAAAATGTTTTCGCGTTTCCTGACAGGGAAGGACTTCAGTCCTCGAGCTGCCCGACGTTTCAGCAACGGTGGTGTGATGGAGTTTGATGTGTCCACTCGCTTTGAGATGGTAATGATAAAGGAGACAGGGTAACGAAGAATCATGTCTCATGTGAGTACGAAAAGAAAACAATGTAATTGCGACGTTGATGATGTATGTTAGTAGTTAAATAGGTTATTCATGATTATGTTATTTCTTCAAGTTGAGAGAGTACGATTTTTCCTTGAATGTGAGAGAGAATGGTTTTGTTTTAGGACCGAGTTATAACAGGTATATTTTAACATGAAAATATTGCATCTTCGTTTCTACCTCTGCATCTTCTACTTCTGCATCTTCCTTTCTAACTCTACATTTTATATATTTCAGTATAAATTTTTCTTTTTTATCTTTTATTAAATTTTATGTTGTTTGTCATTTAGTTGTCTGCTTTTACGATTTAATCTCGGTTTTGGTAGTCATCAAAACATTACTCAAAAGCCCACCATATGTATGCGTGTCTTTTAAATAACCAGAGTTTTAGGTGAGAAAATTCTGCTTAACGCTTAGCTCCCAAAGAAGACTTCTTTCAATTCGATTTTTTTTAAATCTTCCTGAGCACGTTTTTCGTCCCTCATTGTAGGAGATGAAATGTTTACTCCCTTGAAAGTGTACATAGTCAGTTTTCCACTTTTTTTTTTTTCAATCTTGCTTTGCACTGATTTATGTTTTGTCAGACAAAAACACTCATATTTTAAGTGACCAAGAAGACAACCAGTTTGTGTCGTTGGTCTTACGAGTTTTTCTCAGACGAGTTCTTTGAGAGTATTAGAGAAAAGCCTTTAAAAATGGAAAATAACCTGTCGTCTTTTGTTTTGTTTTGTTTTCGTATGTCAATTGAATAATAATGTAAAGTTCTGGAACTCAGTATCCGCAGCTGATCCATTAACACCTTTCACGTGCAGTAAACAAAACCGTACTTTGATGTACTCTAAGTAGCGCTCAAGCGGGAGAAATTGACAGGCCCATTGTTCGGAGAAAAATGGGATGCTTTGTCGTACTTAATTCGTCGTGATTTGTCTCGTTGTCGAGAATGGCACTGTGGAAGGAAATGTTTCACTTCCAAACCCTGCGTTTAAGTGAAGTTTACGAAAAATCATTGGTGGATTTGTCGCAACACATATTGATATTTGTCTCTCTCTCTTGTTTTAACGTTAGTCAAGTTGGACGTGTTAAGCGGTCATTTTAAGTCAGCAGGAATGCAATCAAATTGATAGCGTGACTCGACAGTTGGTTTGATTTATAATTTGTTAACATCTGCATCGGAAACTGGAGTATCTAATTTTTGTTTTTGTGACCGATTCTTAGCCCAGCTGTCTTCAGTTGTGTGTAAGCGGCGCGAATAAGACAAAGAAGTTTTCATTACTATGGTAAAGCAGCGTGAATCCTTTGCCACGATTGCATTTACGTTAACTTGCTCCACATAGTTTGCTTAGGGGAAGATCCAACTGTGACTAGAGGCGCAGTTTTTTTGCCAATCCTAGCACGTGTTAAGTTTTAGCATCGTTTACGATACGTGTCATCTTAGGGTTACGGAATATGTACTTGTGAAAATTAATTAGTCCCACATTGCTTAGTGAATTCTTTTACTAGACTTTGGAGCTTCCGTTCAATCACTATGGTGTTGCCTGATTTCATTTGCTGATTATCTCACTCTATCCTTTTCGGGCGACTTACTTTAATTGAGTTTGGTTAACATTTGTTGTAACCGGAAAGTTGGCCAGCATTCTTCGGTCATCTAGGGAAAAAGTGCGGATGTGGTCGCAAACAGTGTAAATGTATTCCATCTGTTGGTAACCGCGGCACGCATTGTATTTTCACGCTCGAGTTTTGGAGGAGTGAAATATGTAAACGATAACCTTTCGAACTATTTCTGTAAATTTACTTGAAACCGTTGTGTTTAATTTGCTTACTCCCTAAATTTCAACAAAAACTATTTCGGTGTTTAAATAATGGTCACCTTGTTATCAAGCCTTTTATATTATCTCCATTCCCTTTGCCTCGTGAACCTATCGTTCGTAATAGCAAACTGAACTGACGAACAACATATGATACAAAGTTGCCAGGAGAAAGCCTGGCAACCTCTACAAAGAACAAACTTTTTATTTGATTGCCTCCGTTTATCGATTTTGCCGATGTGAGACTTAGGTTATTGATTCAATAAGATTTGATTAAAAGTAAGTCCACCAAACAGACATGCGACGGGTGACGGAGGATTTGAAGGGGGAAGACTTGAAAATTATCCGAGAAGCATTTTGTGTTTCAATGAGTTCTGTGCGGTTTGACGGTAACTTGACTGCCGAACCTACAGAGTGTTAAGAGCCACTGCCATAAATATCGAGAACCCGCCGACAGTTGCAAAATTTCGTAATTAATTTTATTTTTTCGAAAGGAACCTATTAATGAACCTTTTTCGAAAATTATATCAAAAAGTTCAAAATACGCTTAGATGGCCGTTGTCCCCACCCCCGTAAAGCAGCAGAAAATTACGCAACCTCGGCAACTTTTTACGCTACAACGCTTGCAACGCAATCCCTCTTTTAAATTTTGTGTTAGCAGATGGTCCTTTTATCTCTTGGACAATACAAATTTCTTTTTATGTTTTCTCGTTAAAGTCTGAATAGTGACCCGTTGAAATAAAGTACTTCGCGTCTTTTTCGCAGAGGTAAAATAAACTGAGGTCAATTTCAGTGACCTGTCATTTATATGTACGTAATTATAATATACATCATATTAAAATTTATCCTTGTATTTTAGTTCCTGGTATTCTCTATCTTACCCCGCCGTAAGCGGCGCGTCTAGGTTTAAAAGAGTTCGGGCTATTTTTCCAAAAATGCAATGCGAACCGTTGAACAGCTATCACGACCCATTTAAAGGCCTTCAAAAAGGTGTGGTATGATATATTTCCAAATCAAAATATACATCACGTTAAAGCTTTACCTTTGAAGTTTAATTCCTCAGTGTCTTTCTTGGCCTGCGATAAGCGACGCGTCCAGCTCTAGCTAGAGGCTTATTCAAGTGTGCTCATATAGCGTTTAGATAACTTTTAGTTACGGGAAGGGCGAAGCCGTGTCACCAATCAACTGTTTCAACCCGAAAGCGAAATTCCGTTTCTGCGTTTAATATTTTTAAATAGAAACAGAAACCGGAATAATATAATTATGTGAGTTGTGTTCGTTTTCCAGTGCTGGAAGAATCACGAAAAGTTTATGTTTGCCTCAACACTAATTGGCACGATTCAAAGCCCTGTACACGGATTGATGGTTAGCGTGACGTTAATAAAGTAAAGATGAAGGAGTGAACAAAGAAAGGTAAGTGTTAGTAGTGACAGGAATCTCTATATGGGGAACATGATATAAGCCTCTCAAAGCACAATACTAAATTTTCGTTGAAAGAAATGAACGTAAAGACTGTTAGGGGTAACCTATCCTGGTACTGAAGTGCAGGGAGTTTGACTAGCTTGAGTATTGCGAAAACTTTTGGTTATAAGGAATACATTAATCATGTCTTTAGCCCTTCAGGCTGTCGTACACAGAAAAATTCACAGAAATTTCCAATATTTCTCTATTTCCTTAATTCAATAAAGAATAGTGACTTATCAAGATTTAGCTATCTATTTGAAGCGACACCTTATAACTAAAGCCAATACTCTAGGCCTGCCAAAATATTATCTTCGATAACTTCCGCTCTAAAAATGAAAATAACGGTAAGACGTGAACCCAACACAACTTTCCCCCATCCCTCTGCGAAAGTAGCGTACTTCCGGAAAGAAAAGGTCGCTTCAAAATTAAATTTAAAGAGATAGTGTTGCCGAATGGTCAGGTTGTCGGACTCGCAATCTAGAGGTCCTTCGTGAACACGAGTCCCTGGTCTGCCTGGCACTAATTAATTTTTTCCAGCCTTTCGGAAACGCCTTTTACAGAAAATATTCAATGACGATTCAATACAACTAAATATTTAACTTCTTAGCCTATGTCGCCAAAATATATGGAGGCCTGCTCTGTTCGAAATTGATTCGATAATGTGAAACAAGTAAAATTAATTTTGCGGCCATTCAAATAAATTTTGGCCCTGTTTATTTTAAATTTTAGTACAATTTCTATTTTTCATAGTGCCCTGCAATTTAGTATTTGTTATGAATTTTTTTACTTTTTGCATTATACGCAAATTATTTAGTCCTAATTTTTTTTCTTATGTGTTGCAATTTTTTTTGTTGGAAATAATTTTTGATCGAGTTATTTTTTTATTCCATGATGCACTGCGCGCTCCTCGTCGCGGGTGTAGAGGGCCACGGCCAATGTTTGTTCGAAATAATTGCACGCTGAAAATGACCAAGTGCGCGAATTCTTGATGCTATTTTGAATTGCCTCGCAGAAATATTGAAAGAGGAAGAAGGGATCGAGGGTTACAGATTTTCCCTCAGGATCTGAAGCGAGTAATAAATCTTTTCTTCTTGCCTCGTAAGATATCGAATGGATGGATGATCTAAAAGAACACATTTGTGAGAGTTCAAAGCTAAGTGACTGTACTGGAACAGATAGAATTGTTGAGGTCACCGCACATTTGCAAATCAATTGTTATCAACCTTTATTCGCTTGATGTTTGACTGTTACCTCATCGATGCGGTACTTGTTTAAGGCAATCAAAAGACAGCCTGTACACTTAAGTCATGTTTTTCTTAATACTTTTTCAATGAAATGAGTTAGAATGTGTGGGTCCAGTAAAATTGCGTACCCCCACCACGTAGGGAATCAACAAAACGAAACCTTCACCCTTCTTGTTTGTTGACCTCCCTCTCCTCCGGGATTCCTGATTCTCACCTTGTGGGAGTCTTGGTAATTTTCTAAAATTTTAAACAATCACAAGACCAAGCATCTATCATTGTTTGAGAAGCTAGGGGGGAACTGACATCGAACTGATATACTTAAATCCGTTAAAATCGTTGAATCTTTTTGGTAGTCAATTTATGCCTTGAAACTGCCAATGTGATCGATATATCAGAGTATAATTCTGATAAAATACTGTTGGTTTCTTTGTTTGTTTGTTTTTTGATTGAAAACATCGAAGTGCAAAATACAAATGGAGAGACTAGTATTCGTGAAATTAATTTTTTATTTACTTTCGTAGGCGAAAAATACATTTCTGGTATCCAAAAGGAATACAACCATGATTTTTTATTTTTTACGAAATGTTAAATTTCAAGTAGAAATAGGAAAAGTTTTGCGTCTCAATAAATGGTTTTATTTACATTTTTGTTATGTTTTTTTAATTTCTTCCTGTTTGGTATCAGACAAACTAAAAAAACTTTAAACCTTTGATAAATAGAAAATTTAGTTATTTAAAGTTCATCAGGAACCTATGATGTAAAAAGATTCAAAGTTTAGTGACAAAGATGCCCTTGCTTTCATATAAAGAGTTGAAAAATTAACCTGTTTAATTACAAATAACACAAACCTTACTTTGGTATTGTAACCCTCATGTTCTATCCCCACTTGATATCACCATTATCTTCTTTACTAAATATTAATGATATTTCAATTTCATTTTTGGTTCAATTTCATTTCTTTATCTTTAGTAGAGTATGAATGAATTTAAAGAAGAAAAAATAAAATTTGAACCACGAATGAAACTAAACAATAGCTTACAATAAAGGGTAAAGTAACTTAATTGTCCAATTCACGATTATTAAATGTGAAAAATGAAAATTTTTATATTTTGCGTCCAAGCTATTTTATTTCTTAACCTAAAGTAATGTACCCTATAGAACCGAACTGGAAGGGTAAACTCAGCCCCTTCTCTAATTAATTTGTAATGGCAATTCATTCTGTCTTTCAGGAATAAACGTAGATTGGCAGTGTTATGGCAGTGAGAATGAATTTGATTAATCAAAAAACTTTTCAGTGTTTATGATTGGCTTTCAACAGTACAACGTTATTACCATCATTATTTTTAATGTTATTATTATTATAATATTTCTTTTTGAAAACGCCTGAAGTCAGGGGCACCTCCATGCAAATCATGAGAATAGGTTTCCAAATACAGACTTTATTAAACACATGATTTCCTTGTAGACAGACATATATGACACACATGTGATTTACTAAAGGTAAACTAACTTTGAACTTACATAGTCCCAAATGGCAGCTAATTCCAAGCATATCCTGTGCAAAGAGAGAAGAAAAAAAAAAGATGAGGAATACTTTTCTTTAACGGAATAAGTCAGGTAGTAGTCGGTAAGGTGCTTTTTTAAACGAATGGCTCTCTTCAATGTAGTCCATGCCGCGATGTTTATTCTTTATCATTTAAAAACGTTTCTTAAGTCACGAAGCCTTGCCAAAACCTACGTTGATAATAGTTTGATCGAATATTGCTTCAAAATCGAATTGAGTAGATCTAATTATGTAAACTCGAAGCTGATCAAGACCCATCCCATTTGAGTTAATAAAATGTATCGTGCAGTCTCCACTCAGATTAAAAATGTTATGCTAACCTGATTTCATATTTGTTTTTAGTGTTAAACCATGTACTCCTCTGTTAATTTATTTCCTTTTAATGAAACTTTTTGTACATGTGTATTGTGTATAAGCCCCGCTTAGAAAGAACTTAATCACATATTATTTAATAACCGCTTGCTTGTTTATGATGTTATTGTTGTTTACGTGGGGGTGTGACGTGTGTCAAAATGTCATTGGAACAGGAAGAAGGTAAGCAGAAATTGATTGATAAGAACTGACCTTTGCTAAATCAGTTTGTCTTGCTACTCTAACTGGGACGAAATTAATGAAATGTGCCGTTTTAGATCAGAAAAAACCTAAGAACTTTTCAAGGAACTCACCGAATTAATAGCGCAAATTGGTCATCGAATACTGCGAAACTTTGACTTTTAACATTTAAACAAATTGATTATGAGTACCACTAAAAAGAGGCTTAAAAGGTTTACCTTACCTCAAAATGAAATATATAATGCACGTTGTGGTCCTATGTGGTCTACTATTCCTCATGAGGAGGAGAACAGCTATTACAAAAGACATATACATCTCACTGTAATGAAAATAAAAGTATGCATTATATATGTGATTAAAATATATATAGTTAGAGAAACGTTAGTTGTATTTCTCTTTGTAGTGTGGGGTTGCTATTTCATCCTTAACTCTGGAAGCTGTTTCGATAATAATAATAATTTCCATTAGCTGAACTCATAAAAATTAGACTGCATCCCCCATGCGAACATCAGCATAACACTCTGCACATGAGGATTTCACAACATTGTGTATTTTTGTCGTCATTTTGGATATCTACTTCGGTATATAGACAGTTCTACCTCTATCACAATTTCTGCCCTGATCCGTAACTGCAAATCTATGAAATAACAAAACCTAAAGTATGATTTTTATCAAAACTTTTCGTCCGCTGTCTCTCGAATTCGAACTGATTTCAACACATGCGTTTGGCTGTCGCAATGACTTTCATGTCACGATAATACCTATTAGGGGAAAATGAAACAGAGGAGCAGTAAGAAATGAGGCTCAGCGGTAATCGTAGAAGTAGCTTGGTTTTCTTTTGAAAGAAGTTTCGAATTTTTACAGACAATAAAGATTCTACAATGAAACCACATCAGATTTATATAGGCAAGTCGCATCGCCAACGAATTTTTACAGACAAGTCGCATCGCCAAAACCTCGTGACAGACAGACTTCAGTAAGAGGTTGGAGAAAAAAGACGCTTACCGTGAAATCAGTGTTCATTTCGAATATGAAAGTGTAACTAGAAGTCGCTACATACCCAATAGAGCTCCTCAAAACCCATAATGTTTTTTTGGTTGATGCTTTCCACCCACGCAACTTTAGATCCGATTGATCCATTTTATTAATAGAATCATGACGCCCAGTCTCGCTCTTCTGCTCGTATTGGTTATGCGTTAGGTGTGGTCTAATGAACACTCTGACTGATATTATGGACTCAAGGGAAAATATAGCTCGATTAAATGGGTAGCGCTAATGATATACCTGCTTCCATCGATTGAACTCTTCTGAAGAGATTGCATGCTGTAGTTGATAAAATGAGATATTCTATCCATCCTAACATAGATCACCGTTTCCTGTAGCTCCACCGCGTTGGTACTGTAGTTGCCACGAAGAGGTTTCTTATTCCCAGTGGTATGTAGGGAAGCAACGAAGGTCTTTCGCCGCTGTTTATCTTTGACCAGCTTTCGAAGCCTCCGTTCTGTGGCGACGCCTTGTTGGTCGATTCTCCGAGACTAGTGACGCTAACTTCCATACAGTAACCATCCTTACAATATGCTTTAAACGGC